CTCCCTCCCTCCCCCTCTGCCATGGCAGCCTATCCCTATTTGTTACATTGTAAAGTGGGTTCGCTTTATGTGAATTTGATTTATGCGCCGTTCTCCAGGAACACATGTACAGCATAAATCGAGGAAAACCTGTATTGATATAAAATAATAGGACAATGGTGTTTTACAGTTGGGAAACAAAGGCTTGCAGGAATATCAGCTATTAAATTGGCAGAGTCATGTTTTGTTACCATCACATATTTCAAGCAATCTGTCTTAACCACCATTTCATTCCACATAATTGTGTGAAATTAAAAATGCAAATGAAAAAATACTGAATATTACAGTTTTGTCATTCCAGAATAACATTCTTTGTTTCTCTTTCCTGCACTATTGGGTATTGAATATTTCATTGTACTGTCTGTATTTTGGGTGAGAAAGTCTAGCACAGTGTACTCAATTTATCATCATTATTAATTGTACTGAGGTAGTGCCTAGAAGCTGCAATCAGGGATTTGCTGAGCTGTATTACGCTGGATACTGTACATACACTTAATGGAAAGACGGCATATGCTCCAAATTGCTTACAGTTGTGAAATTGAGATTGATCTGATCCTAGACATTGTGCACTGAGCAGATCAGTATAAACTGGGTGTGTTTCCATGTGCAATTATGGCACCTGAATAAACTGTAAAGCTAATCGCTCCTGAGTTAATTACTCCTGGGAGTGCCATTTAGGCATAGCATGTAGATCCCATGTGGAGCAGCCCCAGCTTGCAGGGGGCAATGGGGGTCAGCCTGCCAGCCTGGGGCTGCTACCTCTGGCTCAGTGTACTGCAGAGGGGCCAGATGGGTCATGAGGGAGCTTTAGTGTAGGGCTAGCCAGCAGGCAGACCCTACACTGAAGCACCATTGTAACCCAGCCAGCCAGGCAGTGTCTACACATAAGATGCTGTGGAGTTTTTTACTCTGCAGCCGGATAGTACTTGTATTTATAAGGACAGGCAGTCCTCAGACTTACGACAAAATTGGTTCCTAAAAACTGCATCAAGTCAAAATGTTGCCACTCGGAACCAATTTTCTCATAAGAAACAATGTTATAAATGGGGGATTTGTTCCTGAACCAAGGCCTGATACCCTGTTTTCACCAAAAATACACCAGAATTTTGTACTCAATCAATTATAGATGAGTAATATAGCTACATTAATATATTTATATTGTAAATAGCTATCATATTGATTCGGAAGGACTTCTTTGAGGTGACTTTGCTGGGCTTTTTGAAAGGTTCTTGGCTGGAGTCTTCTCAGGAGTCTTGTCTACAGGTTTTTCTGGAGTCTTGTCTGCTTTCTTAAAGAAAGTGCCCAAGGAAGTTTGGACAGATGTTATCCAGGGAGATGAGTGATGCAGTGAACTTTTTCGCTGGCGTGGCGTCCCATCGGATCAAGTGTTGTAAAGTCAAAACTGATGTCATAATGTTGAAACAGGGTGTCAATTTATAAATGTTGTAAGTGCAAAATGTTGTAACTCGAAACGTTGTAAGTTGAGGACTGCCTGTACTATCCTGCTGCAGAGTAAATTAGTTTATTCCAGCCTAATAGGGGTGTATTTATAGATGCCAAGATGTTTACTGCTGAGCTAAGTAGTCTACTGCACAGTGAACATCTCATGTAAACATGCCTACTGGGTGAGAGAGTAATGTCTTGGACAGGTATCAGTGTATTCTGTCTTGTTATTTTAGCTATTGGCCATAATACAGTTAATGCTCCCCTTTCTCTATCTTCCTGCCGATGTGACATCCCAGCTTCTCTATACATGGAAGAGAAGAAGAGGCACATCTCCCACACGGTCTAACCCTTTGTAGCTCTCTCTAGTTGGAGGCTGGTAACCTTTTAGGGGTGAAAGGATGACACAATCAAGATGTCTTTCTCCGCAGAACTCTTTTTAGTTTTGCTCCTAGATTTTCACCTAGAAGGCTGAGAGGTAGAGACTTGAGACCTACATTCAGGTGTTCTAGATCTTTTCTTTGCTGCTACTAAGCTTCTGGGAAAGGACTTGGTTAGTAAAAAACAGTTCCTGTTGAACCAAGTGTCAGCTGAAGGGGAACATACTGAACAACCATTGCTGTAGCCTGCTCACAGGCTCCCTTTCCTATGGAAACATAGGAATCAGATGGTTCGAAGGGAAAGCAGCCTAAGAAAATCCAGGCCACCTGCCAAGGGTTGTTTTTTTTAAGGGCAATCTGAATCTTTATTAAGAAAATTCCTCTTCTGAGAAATTACTAAATAGTAATACTCCAGTAGTGCCTAGAAGTTCTGGCCAGAGTTGTGGTCCCATTGGGTTAAGTCTGTATGAATACACCGCAAGAGGTCTCAGACAGCTTACAATATAAATAAACAATTTATCCCCAAACATACTAATTGCAATGCTGATCCACTTGTACTTTGTTTCTCAGAAATGAATGCCCACTATATTCTGATTTTTTTAAGAACACTATAACAAGAGTCTTTATTGTAGGCCCTTGTAATGACAAACTGCATTCCCAGCAGTATGCCAAAACCACTAGTGACAAACAATCAACTTTCTTCTGTTTTGCACCAACCAGTACAGTCTATTAGCATCGATAGTTGTGTGCCCTTAGACTGGTTAATGATTAATATGTCAATTTCTTGATTTTTTAAAATATTCCATAAGAGTAAAATATCTCTTACAATATATAGCCATCAAGCAAAGTTGTAATATTGAACCCTGTGAACTTGCAAGGGATGGGCAATACTTTCGCTGGCAATGATAATTCTTAAGCTGTTGGGAGTACTTTTGCTGTACAGTATCCCAAACAAGGATAGGGCCAACCTTATCGATTTTGGATCAAAAATATATTCATAAAAATACAAGTTAATCTTTTTTAAAAATGGAGAAAAAAACCATTAAAATTAAGACTTCAAATGAAAGGAATAAGCAGCACTGTTAACTTTGGTTGCTCCTAGCATATTACTATAAATTGGGAGTTTTTAAAGTGGTTCACTTCTTTACAATGGGTAGAATCCTAACATATTTGCAGTAAGATTGTTGATGCAACTATGAAAAATAGAATGAATCCCTGCATAGTTCTGACTTTAACCTACGTTTTAATTTATTGAGCTAGTTTCTGATTTAAATTGGTTTTACAGTGATGTAGATCTGTTTAAACTCAGTGAGGTGGTCAAAGCTGTCATAATTCCAAATGTATGAATGACTTACAGTAAATTTTGTTTCAGGGTTTTTTTTTAATGTTTTTGTCTTAGGAAATGGATGGTTTCTGGACAAGATTATAGTCAAAGATTCTGTCACTAACTTGGATTATGCTTTTCTATGTCACAGGTTAGTGGTTTCAGATAGGTTATGTTTATAGCTTCTTTTCTGATACTCCAACTCATGTGTGGTTTGTCACCTCAGAAGTGAATTAAAACTATCTGATTCCTCTTACAAAATTTAGCAAACAGCTATCAGTTAGGTAGCAGTTTTTGGTCACTTCAGAACTGCGCTGCATTTGAACCACTGACCATGCTATTTAAATATCTACATGATATCTTTTCCATCCCATGACACTTGAAATCTTTGGGAATTACTTGTTGGTCTGTTCCTTCCTAATATCAAGGTAAAACTTTTCAGAGGAGCAGGTTGCTTTCTAGGCATTAGAAAGCAGCCCTGGCCAGTGGCTTTCCCCTGCCTCCTGCCACCAGGCTCAGCAATGTGGGGCTGGTGGAGATGCTTGGAGTGCAGCCCCACAGCCTTCCTGGGGGTATGGGCCCCCAGATCTGCACACAGGATGACAGGAGGCTGCCACTGCTGCCTAGGGCCAATGGTAGCACCAGTCTTCCTGGCGCTTGGTGACAGCTGTGGGCTGCACCCAGCACCAGTCCCAAGTGGCAGCAGCAGCCTCCTGTCATCCCAAGCACAGATCCGGGGACCCGCACCCCCAGGAGAAGTCCAGCACAACCCCAGATCTGTGCAGGCCCCCAGATCTGTGCACAGGATGACAGGAGGCTGCCACTGCCCCCAAGTGACATGGGTTTTGCTTTTAGCATTTTGAGATGCAGTTTCCCAGAAACCCCTGCATCCATCTCCTTGAAACTTAGCAGGCTTCATGGGGGCTACCATCTGAATCAGGCAAGAAATGACAAAGTTATAGGCATTTTCATGATTCCCCGTTATAGCCTGTGGGCGAAACATTGAAACCTGTTGAAAGAGTGAAACAGTTTCAACGAAATGAAACAGAACAGTGCTTTGAAACTAAATGAAATGATGAAACGAAACACTGCCCCTTTGAAATGGCAAAGCAGAAGTGGAAACGAAATGGTGCTGTTTTGCACAGCCCTCACATCTGTATGCAGGTACTTGAGCCCTCAAGGGCTCTGCCTATTGGTGAGGCTTGGAGACAGCTGGAAGCAATGATCAGCTAATGAGAGTGGAGCCACAAAGAGACTTAAGAACTCCAGGAGGCAAGGAGAGAAGTCCTGAGCTAAAATTGCTCCGTTCTCCTAGTGGCCAGAAAGGACAGAGGGTGTGGTGTAAAACTGGCCTGAGAAACTGAAAATGGAGCTGAATCCCCTGTTTGAGGCAGCAGGATAAGTGACCTGTTTACAACCTATGATCTTGTACCATTCAAGGCAAGCTTTGTCATCTCATTCAGTGGACTCAAGATCAGGTTTTGTGTTCTTAAGATACAGGCATCACTAATGCATAACTGAGCACCTGCCTCTTCTTCTGCCCGTCACAACTTGTCACTGAGAAGCAGCAGAATTTGACTCAATTCAATTTTTTCTTCTGATTTCCTAGTAGTCTGTTCTGCTCTGAATCTGCTACTCCAAGGCACATTTTTTTTCACAATTGTATCTACTGTCAATTAATTTACAAACATTTATGTAAATTTGAGGAGTTGAGAAAGTCTGGTCACATCTGAATCTACCTACAACTTGTCAGTGGCACCTCTATTCTAGTTTCTTCTTTTACCTAGTGAATAAATAACTTCCTAAAACAGCTTTGAGTGAGTGATGCACACACTAAAATTGATTTATGTTTGAATAAGGGCTTTCCGCCTAACAGATACAGCTCCTTATCTTTGCCTGACCTAATTTTAGATCCATATTGTAGATGAACTGCTACAAAGAGGTCTTGAAATATAAAGCTAGTTTCATAAATAATTTAGGAAGAATTCAAATCTACTTCACAGAGGAAAATACAATGTGTATGCTAGTTCTTGTTGGGGCCTGATGTCCCTTTTTGTTTGCATCATTTCTACAATAGGAGAAGTCAAAGGAGAATATAGTGTATGTTGTTATTAAAGGCATTGTTCATACCATGGAGGGTGCAATGATTCAGGAGACTTTGAGAATCTGATGAATTTAGATTTTGAAGTGGCTTTCTTGGAGCAAGCTGAGCAGACACTGTAGCCATTGGGTCCACTATTACTGATTTCTTACCTAACATTCCTAGTTAAGACTCCCCATTCATTGCACTGGCTTTGGTTCTCAGGCCTCAATCCAGGAAAGCTCTTAAGTATGCATTTCACTTAACGTCATGCAATCCTATTGCCATCAAACTCTCCCATGCCTAAAGCTACACATATACTTAAGTGGTTTGCAGATTCAGGACATTAGTGCAAAATGCATTAAACTGCTACATATAAACAATGTGACTAAAATGTTGGTGGATTTGGGTATCAAGACTAAATTGCAATGTGTTCTGTTTTCCTAGATGGCTAGATCATGGGGAGGACGATGGTAAAATTGTAAGAGAATTGAATGGGGCAGACACTAGCACCTTCTTAGCAAGTAAGCATGAAGCAAGAGAAGATAATCTGACATCATTGCAGCTGTGCCAAAACCAGTCAGGATACTGTATATACTAATCACATTCTCTTTCTGTCTCCAGGGCAAGAACTGGAACTCAGGAGAGAGGAAACTGTAATGACTTTTTAAATTTTGTTTTTTAAAAAACTGACTAAACAATATTCAGATTGTGCTATAGAGAAAATCAGATCAATAATTCTTATGTATATATAGATTCCTCTTTTTATCTTCTCATGCAGTCTCTTTTCTTTTATTCCTTCTTTCCCCCTTGTACCCCTTTTTAAAATGAAAATAGTGGGCTGCTGAAAGATGGAAGTTTCAGAAAGGCAACACGCTTCAGTTCTACAGCAGACTTACCCATGGCTTCATACGCCTCAGTCCAGATGGCACAGTCGATGCACTTGGTGACAAGAAGGACAAATATGGTAAAATACTTGTCAGATTGTGGTGTGTGGGTGAATGGCACAAGGCAAGAGAGCTTCATCAGCTCACTGCAGTTTTTGTCTGTAAGATTTAAAATGGATTCTAATGGGAATGGGTAAATAGAACCACAAATATATATTTTTAAAGACATTAGTATCTTTAAATGGGTTCAAAACTGCCAAGTTTTTTTTTTTGTAAAGGAAGATCCTAGGAAGCAACTTCTGTTTGGTTTTCTTTTAAAGTAGGATCAATTCTCACATACAATTTTAATCATGCAGAATGTGGTCAGTCATTATGGGAGTGGAAAAACCCCTTTCAAATGTGGAATTGGTAATTAGGAAGGTATGTGCCCAAACACCACTTAATCTCTACCGGCATCATTTCCACCTGGTCTAACTGAGCTTCTATCAACTAAATCTTCTCGAGCTCCAAAGCCCATCTAGCAAGAAAGAGGTGCCTGCTTGTATCATATGGGTTTGACAAAATGAGGTGCAGAGCCTTTTGCTGTCTACAGGATGAGGGTGCAACCCAGCTTTCCCAGTTGCTGACACATGGTCTGACAGAATGGTAACTTATAGAACATGTTGGAGAGGGTAGTTTAGGGCAACGAGAAATTTCTCAGAAATTCCCTTGGGCACTTTTCTGAAAAATTGCAGTGGAAAAAAACCCAAATTCCTCAAATCTTTTCTGTCCAGGACCTTGTACAGGTAGATCAATAATATCACATAGGCATAGCAAATGGGTTTTATTTTTATTTTTGGAAAGACCCCCCTGTCAATTATTATGCTTGGTCTTCTTGTTCAATTATTCAGTGACTCAGAACATTGAATTACTTAACTCTCTAAGTATCGTTTTACCATTTCAGAGAATTCCAAATGCCTAAAAGCATTTACCCAGCATGAATGTGTCTTGGAAATCCCACAAGGAGCTTCATTTTAGGATCACAAACTGAGAACTACCAAGGCGAAAAACCCCAAATAAACTTTCTCCTTGTGTGAACCCAATACAGACTTCAAGACTGTACTGAGGCAACACACAAATCTGTTCAATTTTTATTGCTGTGTTTTTGGCTCAGGCCTCATTTAGATGCTTAAGAGGGGTCTGTGGGCAAACCAGGGTAAGCTGAAGAACAATGTGATCACAAGAACAAATACGGATAAACGGGCCAGGAATAAAAAAAATGTGAGATTCTGGAATAGTCTGCTAATAGGAAGAATGAAGGCATGTTTAGTTTTAAGGGGAAGATTGGTAAATTTCTGAATGGCTGGGGACAGACATTATGTATAAACCAGTTTAAGTGATCAGAAACTGATTTAAACCTGTAACAGAACAGATGTTCAGGCACATAAATCAGTTTGAGAATGCCTGAAACCAGTTTGAGATAAACCTGGTTGAATGTAGTATCAGACTTAACTGATTTGGCTCAAATGCAATGTCTGTCCCAGACCCCTTGCTGGTTTAAGATAAACCAGACATCCCCAGCATCCCAGCATGGTCTCTGGGCTGGGCGGGACTCTCTGCTCCACAGCAGGGCTGGCCCCTCCCCTCTTCTCCCTGGAGCTCCAGAGACTGTGGGCTACTTCTCACCTTCCCTCACCACTCCCTGCTAAGCAGGAATTTCCCCCTTCTCTCTGCCTTGCTGAGGAGGTGTCTGTGTATTAGCCAGCTGACCACATTCTGGCTATGGTCCATGCTGAATCAATAGGCAGAATCAACAAGTAGCTGGTAATGTCCCTCTGTTGTTTTCTTAATCGGGTGATAAACACTGTTATGTTTGACACCAAACTTTGGGACAAATCATCCACACCAGAGGACAGGCAGGTGATCCAGGCTGACCTGGACTGGCTCAGCAAATGGGCGAATGAGAACCTGATGGTGTTTAACACTGAAAAATGTAAGGTTCTCCACCTTGGGAAGAAAAACCTGTAGCATCCCTATAGGCTCGAGTGTACTACACTGGCTAGCACCATGGAAGAAAGAGACTTGTGGGTCATCGTTGACCACAAGATGAACATGAGCCTGCAATGCGATGATGCGGCTAGTAAAGCGACCAAAATGCTGGCTTGCATCCATAGATGCTTCTCAAGCAAATCCTGGGACATCATTCTCCCCTCGTACTCGGCCTTGGTGAGGCCACAGCTGGAGTACTGCATCCAGTTTTGGGCTCCACAATTCAAAAAGGATGTGGAGAGAATCCAGAGAAGAGCCACATGCATGATCAGAGGTCAGGAAAACAGACCTTACGACGACAGGCTGAGAGCCATGGGGCTCTTTAGCCTGGAAAACCGCAGGCGCAGGGGTGATCTGTTGGCCACCGATAAGTTTATCAGGGGTGACCATCAGTATCTAGGGGAACGTTTGTTCACCAGAACGCCCCAAGGGATGATGAGGTCGAACAGTTATAAACTACTGCAAGACCGTTTCAGGCTGGACATAAGGAAGAATTTCTTTACTGTCCGAGCCCCCAAGGTCTGGAACAGCCTGCCATTGGAGGTGGTTCAAGCACCTACATTGAAGACCTTCAAGAGCAAATTGGATGCTTATCTTGCTAGGATCCTATGACCCCAGCTGACTTCCTGCCCTTCGGGTGGGGGGCTGGACTCAATGATCTTCCGAGGTCCCTTCCAGCCCTAATGTCTATGAAAGTCTATGAAATCAATTCCCTGCTGGGCTAATCACAGCATCCTGTGGGAGCCTGGCCTTGCCCCTCCCTCCCCAGCTTCCTTCCCCTGCTGAGGGCTGCTCTAGTGCCTCCTGGCTTCTAGCCTGAGCCACTGCAGGCATGTGCCTGCATTTCTGGGATGTCTGTCTGGTAACAAAACTAATTATCCTAGCCAGGTTAGACTAATCTGCAAAGATTGAATCAATTCAGGCTCTGGTGTTTTGAATGTCTGTCCCTAGCCAATGAGATTATATAATATATTTGTCTGCAGTAGCAAGGGGCTGGACTTGGTGACTGAGGGCATCCTTCTCAGTCTTGTTAGGCCTCTGCCTACTTATTGGAGCACAAAACTAGTCTGACTCTGCAGTCAGATGTAGATGCATAACTATAGATAAGTTTTGTTTGTGGAACAATATCTCTGCTATTCAAAACCTCCTTTTTGGCTGTTTTTTAATTTAAATAAATGTACATTACTTTTACCTAATGCATAGAGTAGTTCTGTGCAGCAGCAACAGCTGCTGTGCCAATTTAAAACTTCTAGTTCAGTTTTTTTATCTTGAGGCACTGCTTCTTGTACTCCATTAGGAATAAGGTTCCTCAATAATCAGTTTCTGTTAGATGGGTAAGGGGTTGGACTGTAATGGACTGTAAGCTGTATAGAAAACTGGCTGGATCATTGGGCTCAAAGGGTAGTAATCAATGGCTCGATGTCTAGTTGGCAGCTGCTATTAAGTGGAGTGCCTGAGGGGTTAGTCCAGGGGCTGCTTTTTCTTCAATATCTTCATCAGCAACCTGGAAGGCAGGGTGGACTGCACACTCAGCAAGTTTGCAGCTGACACCAAGCTTTGGGGAATAGTAGATACACTGGAAGGTGGGGTTAGGATTCAGAGAGACCTTGACAAATTGGAGGATTGGACCAAAAGAAATCTCATGAAGTTCAGTAAGTACAAGTGCAAAGTCCTGCACCTAGGACAGAATAGTCCCATGTACTGGCTGGGGATTGACAGGCTAAGCAGCAACTCTGCAGAAAAGGTCCTGGGGGTTACAGTGAACAATAAGGTGAATATAAGTCAACAGTGTTCATTGTTGTGAAGACACTTAATGGCATACTGGACTACATTAGTTGGAGCATTACCAGCAGATTCAGGGAAGTGATTATTCCCCTGGCTTCAGCACTGGAGTGGCCATATCTGGAGTATTGTGTCCAGTTTTGCCCCCCAACCGCTACAGAAAGGGTGTAGACAAACTGGAGAGAGTCCAACAGAGAACAACAAAAATGGTTTGGGGGCTGGGACACAAGACTTATGAGGAGAAGCGGAGGGAACTGGGCTTATTTAGTCTAGAGAAGAGAAGACTGAGAGGGGGTTTAATAACAGCCTTCAACTGACCTCAAGGCAGGCTCCAAGGAGGATGGAGCTGGACTGTTCTAAGTGGTGGCAGATGACTGAACAAGGAGCAATGGTCTTAAGCTGCAGCAAGGGAAGTTTAGGTTAGATATCTGGAAAAACGTTCTCACTAGGAGTCTAGTAAAGCACTGGAATATGTTACCCACAGAGGTTGTGTAATCTCCATCCTTGGAGGTTTTTAAGACCTGGCTAGACAAAGCCTTGGCTGGGATGTTATAGTTGGGGATGGTCCTGCTTGAAGTAGGGGGTTCAATTAGATGACCTCCTGAGGTCCCTTCCAACCCTAATTTTCTATTATCCTAGGAATACAAAGTGTCCCTATTGTTCATAAGACATTTCACCACCAGCCAATTTTGCTGGAAGGTTGGCAACTTTCAAATGTGGGCACGGTTTTCAGGAACAAATGTATTGATATACATGGGACCGGATTCTCAGCTAGTGTAGATCCATGTAGATCCACTGCTTTCAATGGGGTGATTGCCATTTACACTGGCTGAGGAGTTGGCTAATGGATTTTTAATTTTTAGGACTTTTTTGCCCAAATGAGAAACAAGTAGAGAAGAGTCTGAATGGTTTGATTTTGGCACATAACACTTCCAGCATGCAACATTAATTGATCTAGTTAGAACAATAGTTTAATTAGACATCCAGCCTTGCCTCACTGAATAAATACATATAATTTTCAACGAGTAAACAACAGGCTGAAACAGATCGCTTCCATTATGAATGAAAAAAGAATTGGCTAATGGACAGAAATCTATGGGCGAGATTGTGCCATCCTTACTCACACTGACTATTATCCTGCATTGCAAGCAAGCCCATTAGTGTGTCAGAGTAGGCCTATGGGAGAGCAATAACACATAGTGGAATTACACCAGAGATGAATTTGACTTCTTAGATTCATTGATAGCAATGGGAGCTGGATGCATTTAGAGAAAGCAGAGCATGATTTATGGATTTACTTATCCTGCAGTATTGCTTAGATGTGCCCATTAAGAAACAGGGCTCCCATGTGCTAAACACCTTTGTACCCTTTCCTGTAAGAAGCACAGTACAGAGTAACTGGGATTGTTTGATCTAGAGAGAAAAAACAGAGGATTTTTCTAACAATCTTGAAGCAGAAAAAAGATGATGATGGATTGTTCTCTGTGTTCATTGGGAACAGGACAAGAAGTAATAGGCTTAAAGTGACACAGAGTTAGTTATATATTCAAAGTTCCTCTGAACATATAACTAACTCCGAGGGTGGCTAGTCTACCTAGAGAGATGGGTAGAATCACTGTCATAGGGAGTTTGTGGTCAGGTACAGATACTACACTTTACTGATATAAGTGATCGGAAACCAGTCTATACCCACAACAGAACAGAAGTTTAGTGTGCAGAGACTGGTTTAAAAATGGCAGAACCCCATCTAAGCTTTTCGCCTTCACTCCCCTGCATGTCCCCCCCCCCAACCCCGG